GTCCTGATCTGACATCTCTAGATGACGGGTCAGAAACTTATAACTTGGATTAAATCCAGCCCACTGCCTGCTTTTGTAAATAAAGTTTTAATCGAACACAGTCAGGCTCATTTGTTTATGTATTGTCTATGGCTATTTTTGCTTTACAATGGCAGAGCTGAGTAGTTATGGGAGAAACCATGAGACCCACAAAGCCTAAAATATTATCAGGTCTTATATGGATCAATGTTCCCACCTCCTCTCATTCTAAGGGATATAAGGCATCTCTTTCTAGACTATGTGGTCCTGAAGCTGCAAACCAGACTCAGTTGTGTGACTGCCAGCCATCTGTACCTCTAGAGGCATAACATCTTTCTACACTGGGCTATGTCCACACTTGCTTTATTTAGCCACCTCTGTGACTGCCCAGGGTGAAAAGCTAGAAACATGGTGCAGCCAGCAGGTCCCAGCAGGAAACAGATGGCCTGCTCGAATTAGAATGATTCAAGTAGTGCTTAATAAAGAGACTATTTACGAAGGTGAGGGCAGAGTATAGGAAAGCCACAAGAGACAGCAGAGCTGTTACCACCCTAGGCAGGAGGCAACAGGGAGAGGGAGCAAGTACAGAACCTGGGAGGAGAGTCCTTTAGAGAGGACACCTTAAGTGGAACAGAGACCTCCAGTCAAGGGGCAGAGAGACAACGGCAGGGGATCCCACAGACAGGGAACCAGAACTTTTCCCTTCATAATCTCCTGTTGGGGTCTCCACTGGCCAAACTGAAACGGAAGCCAAATACACAGGACCTATGATGGGGTCTATATGGAGCAGCCTCCTGGGGCAGAGAGCAGGGTGGAGAAGACTGGACAAGGGAGTAGAAACTATAGATACCCAGTACACACAGTATTTATTTAGAAAGCCAGGTTTATTTACCCTCCCTGAATCCCTAGTGGTACAAATGGTTAACACAGCTACTAACTGAAAGTTTGGAGGTTAGAGTCCATCTGAAGGTGCCTTGGAAGAAAGGCCTGGTGATCTGACTCTGAAAACTCAGCCACTGAAAACACTATGAAGCACAGTTGTACTCTGACATACACAGGGTCACCACGTGTCAGAATCAACTCCACGGCAAACATTTGTCTTTTTAAGCAGTCCATGAATTGGAATCAACTCAGCAATGGTCCCCTGCCTCCCTTTCGTTTTAAACAAAGAATTAGGAAAAAAAAAAGGCTAACGATCTACTTCCAAAAATTATCCAATAAAAACCTTTTAGATAACAACAGGACTGTATCTGACTCACTTGCTTTGGCCACGTCTTCAGAAGAGATCGATTGCTGGTGGAGGACATTGTGTTTGGTGAAGCAGAGGGCCCTAGAGGGTGTGGTAGGCCCTCATGAATGGACTGGCACAGCAGCTAAAAGGATGACTGACATGCTAAGGACTGTGAGGATGGCACAGGACTAGGCAACCTCTCATCCTGTTGTACATGGAGTCTCCGTGAGTCAAAGTCGACTGACTGGCAGCTGACAACAACAATACACAAGGAATCCCCCGTTTTGTCCCTCCAGATTGGGAGTCTGGTCTTTATATAAAAAGATTGCCATCACGTTTACCTCTCACCACTGCCTCTTCTTGTATCTGCTGGCCTCCAGATAGTTCTCATGGAGTTTATCTTCCTAGACTTTAGCAGCGTGAGAGGGGTAGAGGGCTGTGAGCAGAGACATACATAAGCAGCTGTGTTTCCTGTGAGCCTGAGCAGAGGCTGATGAGTATGTGTGGACATGAGACAAATTTGTTCTCACATCCCACCTGATCTCAGGAAGGAGCTGTGCCACCCTCATAACTGCATTCCAGCAAAAGTCCAAGGAACAGGTGAGCCAACCTCATCTCCCTGGAAGAAAGAACTGGAATGGAAAATGGAGAAATGTCCCCAAAATAATCAACTCCCACTGGCTGAACTTCCAGCCCCCTATCCTCTTCATTTGCTCAGACATGCTGCACTGGCATCTGATACCTCCCCTTTTTGTTGTTAGCTGCCACTGAGTTACTCCAACTCATGATGACCTTATGTACAACAGAATGAAACATTTCCCAGCCTTGCACCAGCTCCACAGTCATAAGTATGCTGAAGTCCATTGTTGCAGCACTGTATTCTGAGTGCCTTCCAACCCAGGGGCTCATTCTCCAACACTGTACTGGACCATATTCTCTTGTGACCCATAAGGTTTCACTGGCTAGTTTTCAGAAGCACATTGCCAAGCCTTTCTTCCTAGTCTACCTTAATCTGGACACTTGATATCTTACAGACTCCAAATCCAGCCACACAACGACAGCATGTCACCTGGAAGTCTTCCCTGCCCAGTCCAAATGGCTCATTTTACAGATGAGAAACCACAGACTGACAGGTAGGAAGGGGGTGACTAAGGCAGTCCAGATACCAGGCAGAACTGGAGCAAGAATTCAGGCCTGGGGACTAACCAATTTTTGTCTTTCGTTCACAGAAAATGGAAGTTGAAGTCAATCTTGGAGCCCGGGGAAGGAATTTGGCAACAATTCAAAATGTATCACAGAATCAGGCAAGTTTCCTGGTCAGATTCAGCAGCTGCGACTACGCATCTGGACCCTCAGCCCCCAAGAAAAGTATTCTGTGCAGACAGCATGAAGCAAGCCATCAGCCAGAATCCAAACCCCCACCTGTGAATGGCTGTTTGCCCTTAAACTTTAGGAGAGTCTCATATTAAGGACACCAGTTTTCTAGTCCTGTAAATTGAGAGCTATCATGAACCACTTAGTTTTATCCTATACCATATAAGCAAGTACCAACATAGCGTGGAGATATTGCAGGCTCAGTTCCAGACCACTACAATAAAGCAAATGACGCAATAAAGCGAGTCACACAGACTTTTTGGTTTCTCGGTGCATATAAAAGTTATGTTTTACATTATACCATAGTCTATTAAGTGTGCAATAGAGTTTTGGTTATCTTATGCTGCTCTAACAGAAATACCACAGGTGGATGGTTTGAACAAACAAGGATTTTTTTCTCTTACAGTTTTGGAGGCTGGAAGTCTGAGTTCAAAGTGCCAGTTCAAGGGGCTGAGTGAAGGCCCCTCAACCTTGGGCTTTAGCTCTGCCTCTTGTTCCAGGCCCACTGGAGCTGGAGGCATCTCTTAACTCAGGCAGTTACTGGTTGCTGAGGCTGACAAACCCAAGATCAACAAGTAAAATGGCACAGTCCCGAGATTATCAAGCAACATGCCAGGCCACTAGTTCAAGTCCAGAAACAGTCTCAAGATCAGTAGACAACATGGAAGGCCACTCACTAATGACTCAGCCAAATGCAGGATCCAGGTGTACCAAAAGCTAGAGACCTTCCTCAAAGCTGAAGCAGACCATATCCCTAAGGCAGTTACTCGGCTGCTCACAGTAGATCCCCCAGTGGAGTTGATTACCAGTTTCATCATGGACAGTAACTACATCCAGCTGCCAGCCACTCAAAACCAGGCCCAGCCAAGTTGACATACAACTTTAACTATCACAAATAGTGTTATGAAAAAGTTTGAAATATTGTGAAAATTACCAAAATGTGACACAGACACACAAAGCGAGCACATGCTGTTTAAAAAATGGTACCTATAGACTTGTACAATGCAGGGTTGCCAAAAACTAAGAAATGTTGCCAAAAAACTAAAAAATGCAGTTATCTGTGAAGCACAATAAAACCAAGCACAATAAAAGGAGGTGTGCTTGTACCTAACACAATGTCCAAAGGTCAGTGAACAATGATTTCATTGTCTCTTCTTTTCCCTCCAACTGAAAGGCTCTTAGATTATTTGCAATTGCTTTTACAAAAAGCCAGAGGCCAACTAGTTTAAGTGTAACTATTACCTTCTGTGCTATAACCCCTAGAAACAGGGGCCCCTGAGAGGAGTCGGGAGGCAGTCGGATGTGCTGGGAAGTCTACCTAATTTTCATGGATGCACGTGTAATTAGAAAAACCTCAGGGTCCTCCTCTCTCCTTTCCGCCCCCCACAAATATCTTCAGAGAAGTGAAGAGTTCAGACTCATAGCCTAAGTGCTCAGGTTTTAAATTAGACAACTTTGTCCTGACAGGAACCAAGTCACAGCTGTCATACCTGATTATTTTTAGAGTTACTACTAAACCCTTTGTACGTTACGAGCTGCCACTGTTCAAGGCAAACAGAAAGACTTCACATTTTATCCTGACAGCTCGGGAGCCATCCACCTCCTCATGATCATTATTTCCATCCTGTCTCTGAAAGAGATGGTGTGACATCCTGAAAATCTTATAGTGAGGAAGGCAGACCCCATGGCTCATAAGAACACGTCTGGCGGTGCGGTGGTTAAAATATTCAGCTGTCAACCAAAAGGTAGGCGGTTCAAACCCACCAGCTACTTTGCAGGAGAATGATGAGTCAGTCTGCTTCCAAAAAAATTTACAGGCTTGGAAACCCTTTGGGGCGATCCTATTCTGTCCTATAAGGTTGCTATGAATCAAAATTGACTCAATAACAATAGGATTGGTTTGGGGTTTTGGTGTAGCTGGGTGCTGCAAAGCTGGTTAATGCACTCGGCTGCTAACCAAAAGGTTGGAGGTTTGAATCCATTCAGAGGCACCTGGGTAGAAAGACCTAGCCATTTACTTCCAAAACAATCAGCCACTGAAAACGCAATGGAGCACTGCTCTATTCTGACACACATGGGGTCACCAAGAGTCAGGTTCAACTTGACAGTAACTGGATTTCACAGCTAAGCAAAGCCCACTGCTTCTAGAAAGGCAAGATGAAATATTTCCAAGGGAGGTAGCTGCTCCATAGCATTCTTTAGGTGAACCATTTTTCATGAGAGATAAAAATTGACCCTCCAGTGTCTAACCCATGAATACCTGAATGCAAATGCCCACAGGCACTGACTAGGATTGGCCAGACTGTGCATGATGTCACAAACCCCCTTCTCTGACCCAACAATGCCTCCACCACTAAAAAGGCCGACCCCTGACGGCAGCTCTTGCAGAGAGAAAAATTCACCACAAGCAAAGGACCTTCTAGATTGCTCCTGGAGCGTGGGGACAAGAGTCTCTGCTGTCTAAGTTCCTGAATCCAGAAAAAAAAAAATGTTCTTATGAAGATGGGAAAAGAAATCCAGCTAAGGCCTAAGGTCAATGTCTCTTCTTACATCCACTTTTTGCTGAATTACAGAAACAAGTTCAAGGAGCAGCAGCCAAATACCTACCTTGGCTTTAAAGAGTTTTCTAGAAAGTGTTCAGAAAAATGGAGGTCCATTTCAAAGCATGAAAAGGCCAAATATGAAGCCCTGGCCAAGCTTGACAAAGCCCGATACCAGGAAGAGATGATGAACTATGTCGGCAAGAGGAAGAAACGGAGAAAGCGTGACCCCCAGGCGCCCAGACGGCCTCCGTCATCCTTCATACTCTTCTGCAAAGAGCACTATGCCCAGCTGAAGAGGGAAAACCCAAACTGGTCGGTGGTGGAGGTGGCAAAGGCCACAGGGAAGATGTGGTCCGCAACAACAGACGTCGAAAAGCAGCCGTATGAGCAGAAGGCGGCTCTCCTGAGAGCTAAGTACCAAGAGGAACTCGCAGCCTACCGTAAGGAACGCAAGGCAAGGAAGAAGAGCCTCTACATGGCTAGGAACCAGCGCAGAGGGAAAATCGTGTCGGGCAGAAGCTGATGGATTGAATTTGAAAAGAATAAAATGCCATTCACCAGTCCTCCCTGTCTCTGATCACTGTTCCTGGTCTCACGGGTGGCTCTAGAGCAGCCACTGCTGCTACATTGGGGAAGTGAGTGGTGTGGTGAGTGAGACTGGGGTTGGGAAACTGATCCTGGGGATAGGAAGACTTTGGGAGCAGTGGCAGGCAGGGTCTGAAGGAATGGGTGTCAGAATCCACAGGGCTTGCTGGGGCAGGTAGGGTGGGAGTTTCCAGGTGTAAAAAAGCTAGAAGTCACGGAAGTCAAAGCATCCTGATTGCAAGTGTTTCTCCAGGCTGGAGGACCCTACGTGAGGTCAGGTCCAGGGACACGAGGTCCAGCTCTGGGGAGGAGGGTGGCAGTACTGGGGAGGGTGTCTGGGCCAGAAGGCTCCCAATTGAGGGTGTAGCAGAGAAGAACTATGCCAACTAAGATGTCCAAGCAGGTTCCAAGCAGGAGTGGAACCAAGCCAGCAGGGGATGGGAAGCTGGAATATAGGGCTTCAGTAATCATTCCAGATACCAGACCTCCTCCAAGATGTAGATACCAGCAGTGAGTCAGCATGGGGCTCCAGTGGAGTTCCCTACGCTTCTCAGCAGAACCTCATAATTAAAACAAAAAACGGCATCAGGCATAAAACACGGGTAAAAATCATCGCAAGTCCTATAAGAAAATCCTGTTGACATTTTGGTTAACATCTACCCAGTTGTGTCACATAATTGTCATTTGTTGCTTTTATGACCTCCTGCCATCTCTTCTCTTGGTAATAGCACCCTGATTCCCTTTTGTGACCCGGGTCTGAATGAAGACCAGGAATCCCTCTGGCCACAGTGATTGGTTCAGTGAGGAGTATGGGATTCAGGATGGTCCAATCAGAGTGGATCTCAGTCATTTTGCCATCACATAGAGCCTAAGAATGAGGTCAAAATGTTTAGAATCCTAGAGGCAGCACATCATTCAGGACTTTTCATTGAAGATGAGACAAGACATTTCCTTTTTTGCTAAGGTAGTCTGAGTAAGGTTTTCTGCCATTTGCAAATGAGTCATAACTGATAAGAAATTTGGCACAAATGGAATTGTGCTGGGTCTGCTGTAACTGGATTTTTCTTTTCCCCCAGATAATATACTGTGGGCAATGTCTCACAGTAATCAATACAGATTGAAACATTTTGAAATGACTCTTTTGATATCTTTTCATCAAAAAGCCTGGGTCAGAATGCAAAATTACCTTTGTTGCCAGGTTATGCGTGCAGTAGACTTCCCTAACTACGCCTCTAACCCTATTCCATGATGGAGGACTTTCTAATCTATCACAGTTTGAAGTTTCCTTTTAAAATTAAAGTAAAAATCTGAATGTTTGAAAAGTTTTAGAACTGGGTGAGACTTTAAGGGGATAAGAGGCAATATAAGAAAAAAACAAACTTACTGCCATTGAGTCGGATTTGACTCATAGTGACCCTTTCTTGGGTTTCTGAGGCAGTATCTCTACCGAAGTAGACTGCCCAACCTTCCTTCTGAGGAGTGGCTGGTGGGTTTGAACCTCCAACCTTCTGGTTAGCAGTCAAATGCCTTAGACACTACACCACCAGAGCTCCCAAGAGGCAATATAGTTGGGGCAATTTAGAAATTCAGAGTCTAGAATCAGGCCTGAGTTTGAATCTCAACTCTGCTACTGACAGTTTGAGTGACCTTGGGTGGGGTCAAATAAGTATTATATATTCACTTCTTCGGTTATTAGAATTAAATGAGACATAATATGAAAACCACAGTATAGTTCCTAGCACATAGATAAAAATCTACTAAATATTATTTCTAGGAAGCATTGGGGGGTTCATCTTTTATGTGGGAGACCTGGGTTTGATTTCCTGCCAAAGCACTCATGCACAGCCACCATCCCTCTGTCCACGGAGGCTGACAGGTTGTTACAATGTTGAACAGATTTTGGTAAAGTTTCCAAAGTAAGACAGACTAGGAAGAAAGGCCTGGTGATCTACTTCCAAAAATCAGCCAAAGAAAACCTTATGGATCATAAAAGTACAATCTGCAACCTAGCATAGGGATGGCACTGGACTGGGCAGTGTTTCCCTCCAATGTACACGTGGACACTATGACTTGGGGCCAACTCAACAACAGCTAACAACAACAATAACAACAAACTAGTATTTCTATTAATTGTGGCAAGCTGGTTCCCTAGCAATTATGATGACCAACTTTTATAAGTCAATAAAAGGTATACATTTCACTTTCAACGAATGTCAGAAATGTATTTAAATATTTTCTACTCAGTTTGGAGGTAAGACTAAGGGATCGCATTGCAGCCCAAATACCTTCTTTCCCTGCTGCTCCACCATGTTTAATAAACCATATTGAATTCAAATCAAATCAAGGTGGCTTATAAAAACAGAAGGTTCCATCCAATAGATTTTTAGGTGGATTCTTTCCAGACAAGTCAGATACTTTGAGATGAACACCACGGCATAGGTGAGGTCTCAGCAAATGATCAGTTGTTTCACATAAAACAGCTGACAACCCTTTTGAGAAGAACACGTGTGCTGAACATTTGACTCCAGGCCCTGAGTGATTTAACAGATGATACGCAGCTCATCTTAACATGGACCTTCAGCTGGTCTAGGTTCTATTGGATCATAGAGATTTAAAGCTAGGGTAAGGATATCATTTCTGCCCAATATAACTTTATTTTTTAAAGGTTGAAAGTATAATACTTTGTAAAGTTTCCCAAAGCCACATCTACTCAAAGAGACATTTTTGTTCTTAGGTGCCATCAAGTTGGTTCTGACTCCTGTTGTTGCTAGGTGCCATCAAGTCGGCTCCAACTTATAGTGACCCCATGTACAACAGAATGAAGCATTGCCCTGTCATGCGCCATCCTTACAATCCTTCTATACTTGAGCCTGTTACTGAAGCTACTGTGTCAACCCATCTCATTGAGGGTCTTCCCCTTTCTCCCTGATGCTCCACTTGACTGAGCATGATATCCTCCTCTAGGGAATGGTCCCTTCTGACAATATCACCAAAGTAGGTGAGATGAATGAAGTCTGGCCATTCTGGCTTCCAAGCAGCATTCTGGCTACACTTCTTCCAGGACAGATTTGTTCGTTCTTCTGGCAGTCCATGGTACTTTCAGTGTTCTCCACCAACTCCCCAACTAAAAAAACTAATAGAGACCATTTTACAACAGAATGAGACACTGCCCAATCCTGTTGCATCCTCACAATGGGCATTATGTTTGAGTCCACTGTTGCAGCCACTGTGTCAATCCATGTCACTAAGGGTTCTCCTCTTTTTAGCTGACCCTCTACTTTACCAAGCATGATATCCTTCTCCAGGGACTGGTCCCGCCTGATAACATGTTCCAAGCAAGTGAGATGAAGTCTCACTATCTTTGCTTTTAAAAAGCATTCTGGCTGTACTTCTTTCAAGATAAATTTGTTGGTTCTTCTGGAAGCCTATGGTATATTCAATATTCTTTACCAATACCATAATTCAAAGGCATCAATTTTTCTGTGGCCTTCTGTGGTAGTTATGTTTGTGTGTCAACTTGGCTGGGCCTGGTTGAGTGGCTGGGCAGCTGGTGGTAGTTATTCCCCATGATGAGACTGGCAATCAACTCCATGGTGGGATCTACCACAAGCAGCTGAGTAGCTGTCCTTGGGATGTGATCTGCTTCCTGTATAAAAGGAGAAGCCTTGGGAATGGTCTCTAGCCTATGGCATGCTTGGAACCTGCATGTAGCCATGTCATTGCTCAGCAGCCTGCTATGCTCTGCCGATCTTGGGACTTACAATGGACTTAAGTTAATGGCCTGCCTTGTGGTTTGATAACATCAGGACTATGCCTTTTGACTTGTCAGTCTTGGGGCTTTTCAGCCTCAGCAGCCAGCAGCTGTCTGAGTGAAGAAACACCTGTAGCTCCAGTGGGCCAGGAGCAGCAGGCAGAGCTGGACCCCAAAGTTGAGGGATTCTCACCCAGCCCTAGAGCCTGACACTTTGAACTTGGATTTAAAGCCTCCAAATTGTAAGAATAAACTCCTGTTTGTGAAGGCCATCCCATTTGTGCTGTATATTCTTGTCAGAGCAGCACTAGGGAACCAGAACACCTTCCTTATTCATTGTTCAGCTTTTCTACATATATGAGGCAATTGAAAATATCATGGCTTGGGTCAAGCACACGTTAGTCTTCACAGTAACATCTTTGCTTTTTAACACCTTAAAGAAATCTTTTGCAGCACATCTGCCCAATGTAACACATTATTTGATTTTTTGACTGAGGCTTCCATGCACATTTATTGTAGATCCGAGTAAAATGAAATTCTTGATGACTCTTGTATATTCTTGTCTACAAAAATCATACAGTGAGACACCATATGAATGTGCTTCCTTAGGTTTAACCACTCCTCTGAGATGACTATTTAGAGGTTACTTTCTTTCCTTTCTCTATAAATGTCCTGGCTTCTTAAGCTATCCGTAGAAGGTAACATTTTCCAAGGTCCACATTCCCTTGGTGGCAGCATGAGAGAAAGTCTAGAATAGGAGACTTATGATTGCTCTCCCTGGGAGCCATTGATCATTCCAGGGCAGGTGATTAAGAAAGAAGGGAGGATGGTCTCAGTGTTTGTTTCAGTCTCTCTCTGCTCTTGACCACTTGGACACACTGCTTCTCCAAGTCTCAGAGCCTGCCTGACATCCCTGCCAGCATTACTCTGTCCACCGCCCACCACCCACCTGTTCTTGTCCAAGTCATTGGAGGAAACTTCACAAACTAGGACTTGGGCCATCTTCTGGTCCCACTCTAAAACCGTGAAAGGTTCCATCTTTCCCACAGCATCCAGTGAAAACTTCTCTGCCTGACTTTGAAGGCCCTCTGTCATCAGGGAGGGTGCTTCTCCAAACTCCCACTCCATAATCCACCCACTGTTTAGCCATATCCACAGTCATAATATGTGCCAGGCCCTGTGCTGGGTACAGGGATGCACAACAGAGCTGCTAACTCAGTGGGCAC